CTGCTCTTTTAATGAATGAAAATTCAGTACTATGCAAATATTTCTTCTGGGATCATCCTTCGTGAGCAACCTTTGGGAGCTTACTCATCAGCCCGTTCCCTGAATCCGTGTTTGGAACATTCTGGGAACTTGTTATTGGGGCTTTGAACTGAACAGCTCAAGTGAACGAAATCAACAAACCTGCCACTTGATAGCAGGAATTTATAGCCCTGGGAACTGCAGGATGTGACCTGAATGAGAGAGTTTCCCTCTCACCTCCATTTTCCCCACCAACCTCCCACTGCTTGGCACTGCCAACCCCTACAGTCTCTGAAAATATATCCATTTGGTAAATCAGCTGTGCTCTCTAAATCCCATAAAAATCTCTCCTGTGCATTCGTTCACTAATTCAGGACTGAAGCTCCTTTAATTAGAAGGACACCAGAAGCCCTGAATCCTAGGTACAGCTGGGACAATACACTTTTTTCTTGTCTGAGAAATGTGACTTTCTGATACAAGAACTCAGTGTCAAAAAGGCAGCTTGGTACAGTGGCAAAAGCATGGACTTCAGAAGCAACATAAGTGCCCACCGGCAGATGAATGGATAAAGAAGATGTGGTACATATACACGATGGAATACTATTCAGCCATAGAAACAAATGAAATAATAATGCCATTTGCAGCAACATGGATGGACCTAGAGATGATCATACTAAGTGAAGTAAGCCAGACAAAGACAAATATCACATGATACCACTTATACATGAAATCTAAAAAAATGATACAAATGAAGTTATTCACAAAACAGAAGTAGACTCACAGACACAGAAAACAAACTATGGTTACCGAAGGGGAGGGGGGAAGGCATAAGTTAGGAGTTTGGGATTAAAATATACACGCTACTACATATAAAATAGATAACCAACAAGGACCTATTATACAGTTCAGGGAACTCTCCTCAATATCTTGTGATAACCTATAATGGAAGAGAATGTAAAAAAAGAATATATATATTTATACATATATATACATACACATATACACGCACGTATATAAGATGAATCACTTTGCTGTACACCTGAAACTGACCCAATGACTGTAAATCAACTCTATTTCAATAAATTTTTTTTTAAAAAGCATGGACTTCAGACCCAAATAGACATGGCTTCAAATTCTGGCTCCACCACTTGCCAGCTGTGTGACTCTGGGCAGGTTAGCTAACCTCTATGGGCCTCAGATTACTCATATATAAAATGAAAGAGATGTAGAATCCTCATGTGGATCTTCTGGGGATTAAATGTAATGACAGACATCTGGTGGGGTCAAAATACATGGTGGTTTTCTTCTCCTTTTTGACAGTGGGGCCTCTGGGTCAACCCTGGTCTGCTTTCCCAGAGGCTGAGAGCCAGGACAGAGCTGCGTCAGAGATGAGTGGGAAGCCAGGGCATGAGGCTGAGGTAGCCCAGGAAAGTCTGCTATGAACAGTGGCAAAGCAGGGGCAGAAAGGTCAGGGTTGGGAGAACATTGTCTTGAATTTCTCCAGTGGTCCAGAATCTACTTTCCTAGAGATCAATTTGCTTTTTGGAAATAGCCTCAAGGCAGTGGGAACTAATTTATAGGATTATAGAGGTGGCTCCAATTGGGAGACTCTTCTCTTATGTCACCTCCCTCCTCCATCCTCCCTCTGGAGATGATGACTCCTCCGGCCTCTACCTGCCCCTTCTGGCAAAATGCTCCTGGGCTTAGAATTGGAGTTCTTCTCTCCTGTGTCCTCCCTGGGGGACCCTGTCACTGCCGTGGCTTTGCTGCATCTCCGTGCCGGTAACTCCCCATGCACAGATGGAGTCCACATCACTCTCCAGTTGCCTGGAGTACATCTGAATGTCTTGAAGTTCCTACAGACCTCACTTTCAAATTCATCCTTCCCACCGTCCCACACACCTGCTCCTCCTGCGGTGTTCCCTGCACAGTGATCATCACTGTGATCCCCTCTACTGCTTGATTCAGAGGCCTGGAGGCAGCCTTATCCCCTCCTTCACTGTCATTCTCCATCTCCATGCCTGACCTCTGCTGAATCTTAAAGCAGGGACCTCCTTGGATAGAACTGCCCCAGCTCTGGATCCTTCTGGAATGGGATTTCAGAAAGATCGTCAACAGCGAAAGCCTTACTAAGGTCTGTATTCAGCATCCCAAGGGGATTCTGTGAAATGGACAGACCCACTCATTGTATACCCTCTGGTGTTCACACTGACCTGGGTCTGCTCTCACCACCAAGGTCAACTTGGGTAGGTCCCCCAACCTCTCTCAGCCCATTTCCTCAACTCTAAAATGGGAATAAATAATTGCACCTACTTCATGTTTATGAGGATTAAATAAGGTTATGGATGGAATGCCTGGCACATACATAGTAAATACTAAAAAGTATTGTTTTTACCATTATTAATTGCCAAACTTCATTTGTGTAATCTATTTAGTAAGTTAAAGATGAAGGACACAAGGAGACCATTCTGGGGAGACGATGACATAGTTTTTGAATCTCCACAATCCACCTATAAACAATGGCAGAGCAGATAAATAGCTAAACCAAAAACCATGGGCAATATTTACTACAAAGCTAAGTTGTCCCCCCAGACCCCAAACTATAAGCAGGTGGGAACAAACCAGCAATAGTGACAAGCCCTCCATGGCAGTGATTTCTGTACAGAAGGAAACAAAGAAAAAAATAACACAGCCTATGATGGACCAGAGGACAGGGAACTTCAAAATAGTGAGCAGACATTGACTGGGAGGCACAGCTGACCAGTCTGAGAATAGCAGCTGAAACTGGGAGGGACTCGTCCAGACCCATCTCAGGTGAGTGAAAAGGATCCTTGGTAAGTTTTGCAGGAGCTGGAGAGTCCGGGACACAAAATCGCTTTAATCAATCCAGCCAGAGCTCTCATCTAGGAAAGATCCCAGGGAGAAACTGTTGGGAGTGAAATCAAAACTGAGCAGGAAGGGGGCCCCTCAGACCAAAGAAAGAGGAGGTCCAGATAGAAGTGGGCAAGGAAATCCCAGGTAGCAAACTGCCTTGGGATGTGACATGTCACTTAAACAACAGAAGAGGCAAGTCTGTTAGAAAAGCTACCCTGAGCCACACCATCTTATAAAGGTTCAGGAAAACTAACATTACGTGGAAATGAGCAACAGAAAAGTATCAAAGTCAAATTCCATGGCAAGTTATAAGAGAAAGGAGAATAAAGAGCAGAACAACGTTGTACAAGGAAAGCACCTCAGAAAAGACAGTGTGGTGGACAGTTTCATAAATGGTTCCCCAATGAATCAGGCTGCCTGGTATCCATGACCAGTGCAGTCCCCTCCCATGTGGCCCCTGGTCTTCGTCATGTGACTTGCTTTGTCCAGTTGGACATCAGGAAATGTGAAGCAAGCGGAGCCTTGATAGGCACGTGGGAGTTGGGTTCTCCTTCTTGAAACCGCTGCCCCCATGTCAGCAAGCACTCTCTAGTCCCCTTGATATGAAACACCACCCAGAGAGAGGGGCCCATTTATCTCAGCTGTCCTGGCTGACCCAGCAGCTGAATGAGTGACCCCAACAAAGAACAGCAGAAGAACCACTCAATCAAGTGGCAGATAAAAAGGAACGAAACTGAGTTATCTGTAGTGAGGTGGATGGACCTAGAGACTGTCATACAGAGTGAAGTAAGTCAGAAAGAGAAGAACAAATACTGTATGCTAACACATATATATGGAATCTAAAAAAAAAAAAGAAAAAAAATGGTCAGAAGAACCTAGGGGCAAGACAGGAATAAAGAAGCAGACCTACTAGAGATGGACTTGAGGATACAGGGAGGGGGAAGAGTAAGCTGGGACAAAGTGAGAAAGTGGCACGGACATATATACACTATCAAACGTAAAACAGATAGCTAGTGAGAGGCAGCCGCAAAGCACAGGGAGATCAGCTCGGTGCTTTGTGACCACCTAGAGGGGTGGGATAGGGAGGGTGGGAGGGAGGGAGATGCGAGAGGGAAGCGATATGGGGACATATGTATATGTGTGACTGATTCACTTTGTTATAAAGAAGAGGCTGACACACCATTGTAAAGCAATTATACTCCAATAAAAATGGTAAAAAAAAGTCAGAAAAGAAAAAAGTCAAGTGGCAGAATTGTGATAATACAATTGTTATTGTTCTAAGCCACTAGGTTTTGACATGGTTTGTCATATAGCAATTGACAACTAATATAGACATGAAGAATTAATAACTAATATAGACATTTAAAGATTATGCAAGACACGAAAGAACACATAAATTATAATTTAAGTACTCAGAAATCTGGCAAAAGAACTCAGGAAAAAAAATTAGAAACAAAGGGAAATTATTTCAGAAATAAATACTTCGCTAGAAAGTACACAACGCAAATAAACGCAACAGAGAATGCTTTAAAATAAAGAGAAAGAAAAAAAATGAGAAAAAATGTAAACATAGGACGAAAGAGATAAGAAAGATTTGAAAATGGCAAATATTGAAGACTGACAAAGAAGACCCAACATTCGGGTAATAGGCATCCTTAACAAAGAAAAAGTAAAGGAAAAGAATGTGTACTAAAAAGAAAATGACATTTCCATGAAAAGTCCTAAAGAAAAACCAACCTGAAACCACATTGCAAGAGCACTGTGTACCTCAGAATATAGATCCAAAATGACCAACACCAAAATTGTATTCTGGCGACACTACTGGACTTTAAGGAAAAAGAAGAAGGGTTTGTTGTTTGCTTGTTTGTTTGTTTTTCCCTAAGCTGGAGCCAACCTTTCTGGCTGAGTAGGAGTTCTCTAGAAAACACAGGAGGAGATGGTCTTCCTGGCAGGGGAGACAGCTTAGGTAAGGGCCGAAGGTGTGAGAGAGCACGGCACATACTGGGCATGGTTTGGGGTCTGGTGAGGGGATGGGAGGTGGGTGAGGGAGGGGTGAGATGAAGGAGGAGAGGAATGCTGAGGCCTGAGGGCATCTGGAATATACTCACCCATGTAGGGCTTGGTCCCGGCCATGGAGGAAGCCTTCTCTGTGCCTTTCACGACCGTCGCTATGTTGAAGTCTGTGATGTGAACATGTCCTGGAGATAGAGAATCAGAAACCACAGTTAGCAAGAGCTGCAGGCAGCTGGGTTATTTCCTTGTCTGATTTAAAGCTGTGGTCTGCAAAGCAGTGGGTGGGGCAGGGAGAAAATATTAGAACTTTTATTTACATTAGTATTTTAACGGATACTTTAGAAGTGCCTATTTTGGGCAGCATCATTTACAGTAGACAAGCTATGGCAACAACCTAAGTGTCCATCAACAGTCAAATGAATCAAGGCGTGGTATGTGTATACAATGGAATTTATTCAGCCCTGAGAAAGAAGGACATCCTGCCATTTGGGACAATAAGGATGGATCTTGAGGGCATTATGTTAAGTGAGAAGTCAGACAGAGAAGGGCAAATACTGAATGGTCTCACTTGTATGTGGAATCTGAAAAAAAAAGTCAAACTCATAGAAACAGAGAGTAGAAAAGTGGTTGCTGGGGGTCGGGGGAGGGGGAAATAGGGAAAGGCTGGTAAAAGGGTACAAACCTTCAGCTCTAAGATGAATAAGGTTTGAGGATAATGCAAAACATCATGACTATAGTTGATAACACTGTATTGTATAATTAAGATTTGCTAAGATAGTAGAACTCAAATATGCTCACCCTCCAAAAAACAGATACATATATAAATATGTGAGGTGAAAAAAAATCTATTTTATATGCAGGTTTTATACTGTGAATTTTGGTGGTACATGCATATTATTTATAGATAAACAAATATGTTGAAGACATAATGAAATTTTTATGGATTAAAGTTTAGCAGCACTGGTCCAGAGAGTGAAAGCTCCTGATAAATAAATGAGACAGGAGAGTCCAGACTCCCTCTCTCAGGAGAACAGTGGGTTGGGAGAGGGTGCGTGGAGAGGGGATTCTCATGCCTTGAAGACACCCTTGTTCTGCTGTCTGTCTCCTCTGGTCAGCGGGGGCCTTAGTACTGTACCTGATGAATTGGGTAGGGAGGGGGCTTGGGGGTTGAGACCACCTTCCACCCAGCCTAAAGTAACGACAGCAGATAGGACGTGGGTGTTGAAGAACCTGAGAGGGAAGGAAGAGGGACAGAAAAGGAAGCAGACAAGGAGATGCGGGGATAAGGGGGAAAAGACAGAAAGTGACAGAAAGAGGGTGAGAGGTGAGAAGGAGGAAAATCCCAAATAGTGAGTACTGGCTCTCTGGGGAATTTGGAACAGAAAATAAAACCAGCTCTGTCCATCAATGGATGAATGGATAGGGAAGAGGTACAACGGGTGTAGATATACAATGGGATAGTACTCAGCCATAAAAAAGAATGAAATTTTGCCATTTGCAGCAACATGGATGGACTTGGAGGGCATTATGCTAAATGAAATAAGTCAGACAGAGAAAGACAAAAACGTTATGATATCACTAATATGTGGGATCTAAAAAATACAACAAGCTAGTGAATAAAACAAAAAAAGCAGCAGACTCACAGATGTAGAAAATAAACTAGTGGTCACCAGCGGGGAGAGGGAAGGGGTAGGGGATTAAAAAAAAAAAAAGGGTTATTATGGGATTATAGGAAATCATGTGTGTGAAACTTTTGAAAGCTGTAAAGCACTACAGAATTTTAAAAACACATCAAATAAAATAAAACCAGCTCTGAGATCCTTGAATACCTGATATAAATGCAATCACATTTCTTTCTGTTTGTCATCACATCATCTTGTGAAAATGGTTGGATTTTCACCAAATCTGAGAGCTGTGTTTGGGATGGTGGGGCTTAAATACATAGGTGGGTGGCATACACAAAATTGGGACATTGGGAGAGCCTGGAGGGCACCTCCAAGAGATGGACAGACCCCCACTAGAGCAGTTGCAAAGAGGCCTGCTGAGAGGTTCATGGGAGAGGCGTGCCTGATGTGATCAGCCACAGTGGACAGAAAAAGCACCAGCGGTGTCACATGCAAATCCCAAATCTCAGGCTCAACAGCCAGCACCGATGTGTGACTAAGCTGCTCTGCCAGGCGCTCTATCCAGTGCTCCCGGGTGAGATGCAGCAGGAGGTACTCAGTGATGATCTGTAGTACCCTTCAGCTGCTTGTGGATGAAGCTTAAGTCACCCAGCCAGGCCTTTGCTGGGAACCCTTTCTGGCCAGGCACACAGTGTCCCCACCCAGGCAGCATCTCTAGAACATATCCAGTCTGCTCCAGCCTCTGGGGCTGGGATGAGCATCCCTCCCATTCAGCCATCCATGGTCCTATCTGCAGAGAGGCAGTGCAGTGCAGTAGTTGGGTGTACAGACTCTGAGACAGGCTGCCTTGGTTTGGGTCTCAGCTTTGTTGTGACCAGCTGTGTGACCTTGGGCAAATAATCTCCCTGAGCCTTGGTTTTCTCATCTGTAAAATGGGGATGATGATAACAAAATATCCATCTCAGAGGGCTGTTGGGAGGAGTCAGGGAGTTAATACATATGAAATGGTTAGAGCATACTGACACACGTAAGTAGGGAATTTTGTATAAGCATTTACTCTTAGCAGTACTGTCCTGCCAAGGCGTGGCTCCAATCCCCTCTCCAGCTAGGGCCAGTCCACTCCTGCATCCTCCTTTGCCTCATTTCTAACACTAACAAACGAGTAAATTCACAGTCCTGTTTTCCACTGTGAGGTACGTGAAAGTAGGTGGACGTCTGGGTCATCTCTGCACCCCACACCTGAACAGTTCCGAGCACAGTAGCACCGCTGGGAGGGAATTCTGGAATCTTCTAATAGGGTTTTTATTTGGTTTTCTTTCATTTCTCCTCCTCTTAAAATTTTTTAATGTTTGCATTATGAAAGTAAAGCCAGCTCATTATAATAAATCACAGAATACAAACATGTGTTTGAATCTCTCCTTTCCCTGCCATATAACCACCCTGATTCATACAGCTCCTCCATTATTTCTCCCTTCACTTATGCAGACGTATATCCACACACGTTAGGAGTTTGGTTTTGTTCTTACAATAAAGAGCTCAATACTCCATGGGTCATTCTAAGAGTCACTTTTGCATTTAACCATGAACTGTGGACATATTTCCAAATCAATATACGTAGGTCTACCTATGAGATCCACAATCCCTACCTCCATTCGAAATCCACATTGTTTTGTTTTGTTTTGTTGTTTTGTAATTCATTTAGTGATAAAATCTGGCCTGGAAGTCCTCTTCATAGTTTTTAAAATTTTTTTAAAAATAAATTTATTTTTTTAATTTTATTTATTTTTGCTGTGTTGGGTCTTCGTTGCTGTGCGCGGGCTTTCTCTAGTTGTGGCGAGAGGTGGCTTCTCTTGTTGTGGAGCACGGGCTCTAGGCACGTGGGCTTCAGTAGTTGCAGCGTGTGGACTCAGTAGTTGAGGCACACGGGTTCTAGAGCCCAGGCTCAGTAGTTGTGGCGCATGGGCTTAGCTGCTCCACGGCATGTGGGATCTTCCTGGACGAGGGCTCGAACCTGTGCCCCCTGCATTGGTAGGCAGATTCTTAACCACTGCGCCACCAGGGAGGCCCTTCATAGTTTTATTTATTCTACTTAGGGTGAAAAGTCATGTTTTGCTACAGAAATATTTATGTATTTGATTACAAGATGCTCTCCAAGCCTTGCTACATAGTATACAGTACATATTACATAATATACAGCATATATTATTTAAAAATATTATTATATGTTATGTTAGACACATTATTTTCATATTATTATGATATATATTATTTAATACAAGTATATATTTAAGTCTGAAAATATCTGAGTTATGAAACCATAGCTGGCCCCAAGAGTTTCAGAAAAGAAATTGTGGACCTGCATTTGTAGAGTATTCCATATATGGTTATACCATATTTTATTCAACAATTCTCCTATTATGGCACTCAGGTTGTTTCCAGTTTTGTTTGCTTAATTGTTTGTCTTGTTCTTATAAAATATGCAGCAGTAGTATTCTCGAACTTATCTTTACATATTGCTACTTTTATTTTGACTGGATAAATTCCCAGAAGCGGAAGCGTGTAGTTAAAGGGAATGCATTTTATGTTCCCCAAACTTACAATTTATGGTACTATAAACAGAATATGAGTGTGTATTTCTCTGCACTTTTACTAGCACTCACCGTTATCAATAATTTTCCTTATTGGCTATTATCAGATGATGAGAAATGTTATTTCAGTGCTGATGCGGCTGCATAGTTTTCACGTGACCAGTATCCCTGAGAACTGCCTATCTAGAATATTGGTCAATTTTCAGTCAGAGCTCCTTGACTATTCAATACATTTACCCTTTTCTCTGGTCCATCTACTGCAAATATCTTCTTCTAGATTACTGCTTTTCTTTTGACTTTATAGTATCTCTTCCATATGAAAGTTAAAAAAATTCAAACAATATATTATTTTTATAGTTTGAATATTATTTTACTTATAACTTTCCAGTTTCCAGAAACCTATTCTTCCCCCAAGATTTTACATATTCCTCAATATTTTCTTATAATATATATATATATATATATAATTTATATTTTATATCAATATTTAAATCTCCCAACCATATGGATTATATTTTTCTATATGGTATGATATAGATTCTGATTTTATTTCTTCCAAATAGATAGCTATTTGTTTCAACATTTATTGAAAATTTCATCCTTCCCCAATAACTTGTAATGTGACCTTCATTTTACATCAAGTCACACATATATGTGGATTTGCATATGGATTCTCTCTTCTGTTGTACTGACCTATTGTTTATTGCTGCACCAGAACTATACTCATTTCATTACAATAGATTTGTAGCTCATTGTAAAATTAGATGAGAGTGGTCACCCTCATGATTGTTTCTTTTCCATGTTTTCTTGGAAACATAGAAAAGAATATTTATTCTCAAATGTTTATTTTTGGAGATGAGTTCTGTCCAGTTTTAGGAGATACTCCCATTAAGATTTTGATAGGAATTACACTAAGTTATGCATTCATGTGAGAAGTGTGGACATGTAATCTACCCAAGGTCATGCTCTGTC